TAATTTGCAACACTTATAAATTATAGAAGTTAATTGTATAAATTATATAACGCTTATGAATTTTCAGTTTCATTTTATCTCGACGTAAGCAGATCTTCAGACGTGATACGATTTAATTTCTTTAAACTTCTATGTAAGATAAATACAGTTGATAAAATTGTATCAGTAGATTTCTAGATAACAGTGTGTATAACGATCTAATGAGAATGAATTTTTATTAATATTAAAACAGAGAGGCTTTACTTACCACTTTTATATTGGGGCCATTCTTCGAATGTGAGCCTCCTGTCCTCGAATTTAATTCCACTCTGGTGCAGGATGTATCTGATTGGTTCAGCAAGACCAGTAATGTTGAAGTAAGTCAATTTGTAGGCAGGCATTTTCTACATCAAACAAATATAATAATACGTTGTTAAAAAAAATTAATTAAAATCTTTTCATATGTTACACATTTAACATTTATATTCTCAAGAAGAGAAGGTACTGTGTAAAATCGATTTTTTATAATAATAATTCTAAGATTGATTTACACAACTTTGCAGATATGACAAATTTATCTTGACTATCACGAGTATCAGTATCATTACACGCTGGAAATATTTTTCCATATAATTCGCACGTTAAGCGATCACCACGCAATCACTGATTGCACAATATTTCTATCTAAAGTTGGTCGCTGATCATACATTGTTCTCGAGGTAAACATCCAGCATACTCTGCCATAAATTGCACGAAGTCTTACGTAAGTTGTCTGTGAATAAAAATTCTGCATTTCATTCGAAGATTTCACGTTTGTTTCATATTCTTCGCAAACTGAAAGGTCAAAGAAATCTGGATATCTCGATCTATATTTTATAGCGTTCGAAAATGGAACGTTGACAAAATGAAAAAAAAAAAAAAAAATGGAAATTGGAAAACTCGAATATTCGAACATATTTGCAGATTTCTAAATTCTAAATGAAGGTTCACCGAAAATTTCGCGAATTTAAGAAATTTGGAAGATCAAATTGGAAGAGCAAAGAGTATGAAAAAAAAAAAAAAAAAAAAAATGTCAAAGAAATATGAGAAGCTTTGGAACTTTAGAAATAAAAGAATTAAAGAATTTGTATTGAGAAGAGATTTCAAAGTTGGAGCACAGATTCACGCCCGTACAAAACAGATTGATGCTAGTTCAAATAAATGATCCGTTTTACAAAGACCAGCTGTCCAACAACAGGAGGCCTTGATTCGTTCGAGTGTGTAGAATCAGCGCAACAGCGTACAGGAATGTTCTAGAAAAATTCAATACATAGTTGTATCGTGGAAATTTCCCATATAATAGACGTGACATTGAAGATAATTAACGGCAAGGTTCGCATGATGTCTAACATTAGTCCCGCTAATAAACGTCGTACGTAGTGACTAACCGGCTGATAAGATTCATTTTGTTACGCTGATAGAGACATTGCTATAATAAACGAATAAAATAGAAACGAAACGATAGTGAACATCCGGTACTGGTTGACATTCTTTATATGAACAGAGACACGCTATAATTTATTTGATTATAATTTTTCCTTCTATTTCCGAATTCGTCGCAAAACACAAATGATAAAAGAACATTTGGAGAAATTTATAAGAACTAGAGCATTGTCGAATTTTTCAATGGTTATATTATAAAACTTCACTTGTGTCAATTTTGATTGATTGATTTGAAAACTATTTTATACGAAGGTTACAAAGTTATTTGAACATTCGAGTGTGTACGAAAATTTCAATATTTACAAATCCTTCACTTTGCAGTTGTTAGGGATCGAAGAATTTCGAACTTTGGAAGTTAGTTTCAAATTGTGTGTCTTTAATATTCTCTGTAGTAAAGTTGGCCTCACCACCGGTTTTCATCAGTATCGAGAGAGTACGAAATTTCTTCTAAGATTTTCTTTTTTACGAAGTTTTCTTCTATGTGTAAAATTAATGGTAAAGAATACTTACGAAGTTTTGCGCTGGAATTTGCGTGTATTAGACGTGTCGATCTCTGACAAGCTACTGCTTCTCCATTACCGGCGTGCTTCATATAAATACTTTTCCCGAGCGTTCCGTTACTCCCCCACCACCATTGAATGATATTCGTGTGATAAACCGCGATAACATACGTGTTAGAATCGACTAGAATTCCTTCATGGTGTAACATCCTTTGTGGCACAGCTTTGTTAATAAGTAAATCACCTCGTAATGGCTATCATAAAAAAAAAATGTCTGCAAATTGAACGATCTATTGGGGCAGCGAGTGACGTCTGTTACAGTTGCCAGCAATATTTACAGTAATTACATTGTTTAGAGAGCTAAAAGTCCGATCGTTTTTTTTAAAAGAAGGCTTAGGTTTTTCTTTCTCCGAAATTTAGCCAATTTTACGGTATATTGCAAATTATTATAATTAATCACAGGCATAACGATAAGTTACGTGGGAGATGATCAATATCCAGTTTCAGTGAGATATGTGAGAAGAAAATATTTAATTTGAATTAGAAGTTAATCGGCTCTTTTTTTTATTTTTTTATATTGGGAATATAATGTGATAAATTGTCATAATCTTGCGCAATGTTTCCAAACTTAATCTATTTCATAATGTTGGATTTGTTGGGTTTGTGAAGCGGTAAAAATTTTGCAAGTCATAGGATTGGCGAGAAATCGATGATTCATTCCACTTCGTGATTTTTATTTAAAAGGATTTTATCTTGCTATATATATTTTGTAATGTAACATTATAATCTTACATTGTAGAAATAAGTTTAAAAAAAATTAATTCGAAATTGAAAACTTATCTTTCTAAGAAATTTTAAAGAAGATTGCAATTAAAGTATTATACTATTTATAATTCAAATAATTACGAATGTTAGAAATTAGAAACGATGATAGAATACATGATTCTACATTTTGAAAAAGAGAAAGGATAGAAATCAGGGAAAGTATTTTCGTCAGAGAAGATATCGATCAAAGGATAATTCCAAAAGTCGAGAGGAGTGCCAAACTTTTAGAATTGATGTCAGCAAGTCATTTTGAACAGTCACTCTCTGACAAGCCAATTTTAACTTTTATCACTCGTGTAATATCTGCAATCAATATCAATACATGTATTTTACTTGTACACATATATTCACATGAGGCAATTCAGTCAGAGTATAAGTACCTGGTATCTTGCTAGATATTACTCAATATTGGTTGTATAATCAATGTTTTCCAATATTTTATTAATTCTTCTTGTTCACAATTTTTTCAGTTACTTTTAAATAAAGCATAAATCCACGCAAACATTCACGTATTATCACGAGTTGGAAATTTTCTAAAATTACAAATATTAAGGAGTTAAACAATGTATTAATGAAATAATATTTATTAAAAAAATAGATTAAAGTCTACATTGAAAAACACCCGAAAAATAGTATTGTACAATTTACAACAGAGAAGTGCAAATTATCAAATGTTCGATAAAAATATATTGTGCAATTGATGAGTTGCAAAAACTGATTATTTGATAGTTATAGTAACTGATATTCGATAGCTTACACTAATCGATGTTTCAACTTTCTTTTTTTCTAGATGAATACAAATCTAGCATAGTTTGGCGAATCGAAATTAAATGATTTTTTCTTTTCTATTTTACTTTAAATTATGTACTTTGCAACAATGACAGCACGCATAATTTCAAATTACATATGTATCAAGTTATACATATAATTTTCTACAACCGGTATTTTACGTATCTACAAATATAAAAAATCATTGAGTTAATTTAGCAAAAAAAAACATTCCGATTTGATTAGAACATCTAACATAATCATCGATCTTTTGATGGCTTTAAAAAATAGTAATAATACGAAAAACAAAAAGAAATGGCATTGATTAAGATAGTTCCAATTTATTTCATAAATATTATCTATATGAATCGCAAAATATCGAAATATAATAGAACTTTATGTAATGAGAATTTATACATGAAAATTTGACTTTATCAAATTGCACAACTATGTAGTTGATAAGACCTCCAATTTTCCGTATTTTAAGAAATACATAAAATATACATAAATAACTCTACTGGTAAACTCGAATAGATAAATAGACTTTTTTTT